CTTTATTCACAATAGGCACGATAACATGTCAACCAGAGTGTTCAGTGGTAGTTACAGAAAGTGTGAGATATATATATATATATATATACACCCTACTTGTGGATATGTAGGAAATTCTTATTCTTAGGTAATCTGTGGTTAAATGTATAAAAATAAAGCAAATACTGAAAACTGTTATTAACTATTGAATCTAGGAAGAGAATATTCAGTTGCTCATTTGCTCTAATGTTTTCAGTTTTCTGTGTAAATTAAAACATTTAAGACAAGTGTGCTTGCACACACCTGTAATTCTAGCACTCTGGGAAGCTGAGGCAGGAGGATCATAAATTCGAGGACAATTTAGTGACTTAGCAAGAGCCTATCTAAAAAAAAAAATTTTTTTTTAAGGGCTGGGGATGTAGCTCAATGCAAAGGCCCTGAGTTCAATCCCTAGTATCTCAAAATAAATTAATTAGCTAATTAATTAAAATATTTTAAAAGAAAGACCTGGTGTAGTGGTATACACTTCTAATCCCCGTAGTCAGGAGGCTGAGGCAGGAAAATCAAGAGTTCCAGGCCAGCCTAAGCTACACAGTGAGACCCTGTCTCAAAAAACAAAAAACACACTGAAAATGTACACAGAGGAGAAAAAGTGGTAAAGTATTTCTTTAGTCCTACTGACTACTTATAGCCACCTCTGATGTCTGCCCAAGAGACAGGAAATAATAGCCTAATCTTGACACTTAAGTCTTTTTTTTTTTTGGCAGGGTGGGGTGGCATAAGGGATTGAACCCAGGGCTTCATGTTAATCCTGCACTTTACCACTGAGTTATAACCCCAGTCCAATACTGAAGTCTTTACAGTAGACATTCAGGATTCTTCTTTCTTGGGGTGAGGGCAAAAGTTAGATGACATATAAAGACATGTAAGAAGACCCCTACGGAGACAGAGAAACTGTGGGAAGGCCCATGTGATTATTAGGTGAATAATTAAAAGATCAAAGATGGAAACAATGCATGTACAAATAATTAAGATCACTTGTATCAAGCATGGGGAATTCTGGTTTGATGCAGAGGTGAAGGGAATGTGTGGAAATGGTGATGTGATTAAAATGGAGCCCATCAATTATTTTGGCTACAGCTGGCTTGTTGAGGGAAGATCAGTGAGGATGAGGATGGTCCAGACATACAAAACCCTGCAGAGGGCTGCATGGGAGAGGATACAGAAATAGAGTGTGTGTGTGTGGGGGGCATCTTTAAAAACCAGCAAACTAGCCAGGTGTAGTGGCCAATGCCTGTAATCCCAGTACTCTGGAAGGCTGAACCAAGAGGGTCCCAAGTTCGAGCCCAGCCTGGGCAACATAGTGACTTAGCAAGGTCTCAAAATTTTAAAAGGCTGGGAACATAGCTCAGGGTGAAGGCCTTGGATTCAATCCCCAGTACTGCAAAAATAAAACAAAACCTAAATAAATAAGTAAATAAAAGGCAAACATAATTATCTTTATGGAATGTGACTTCTTACTTTTTTTCTCCCACATCTTAATGTGCTCATTTCCTCTCCTGTCACTTTGAAGCCTGTCATTTTTCAGGATCCACTTTCAGGTATTTCGGTCACTTCAACCTGCTTCTTCTTCAAGCCCTCAATATCTGTCCTTTACGCTGTTCTCATCCTGCTTTTCCTCACTAGGCATTCTTCTCCATCTGGTACACCCAATCATGTTCAGATGAAATTCTTCTAGCCCACCTGTAGTTCACTTCTCAAATAGCTTTTCAAGAACCCCATATCCAATTTTCCTTTACCCATAAACTCATTACCCAATCTTGTCTTCCTTCTTAAAACGCTTCCATTTCCCTCTCTTCTTGGCTTTCCTTGGTAATGGCCCCGCTTCATGCCCAGTAACTGTTTCAATTCCCACTCTTCTTTTTGCCTCAGATTCTCCTTTTCTCTCTTTTTACCCCTTCAGTATCAATAACATTGTGCTTAACTCTAAGTTTTCCTCTTTTATTTTCAATACTCTCTCGGCTTCAATCTTTCAACTGCCTCATTCACTGGGCTCTTCATCTATTTCATCTACCATGTCCTTCTCACCCATAGAAATAGATCCACCAGTAATATCTTCTGTTTCATGCAAGGCATCTTCGTCAACTTCTCTTTCCTCAGTCTCTTCTAGCTTTTCATCTCTCTCTTCCACACTCTCAAAAGGAATTTCCATCTTCTCATTGGTAACTTCTATCACTTTTTCATCACTAGTAGCTTCTTGTATTCTTACAATGTTCTCTTCACTTACACTTTCCATTCTTGAACCGTCCTCCAAATTCTCCCCGCTAGATCCCCATTCCTCCACACCTGACACCATTTTATCACCAGTTCTCAAATTTCCTCTGTTGAGCCTTAGTTTCTCTCGATGCATCTTTGACTTATCTGCACTGGATTTCTGCCTGTCTCCCCTTAATACTGGCTTCTCAAAAGTGGAGCCTTGCCTCTCTGTCCTGTACATGGGCTTCTCAAAAGTGGA